GGGATGGCTTACCGTTGAGAAATTTTGGGGTGGATTATTATTTCAAGGACAAATATATAGGGTGTAAAAGTGGAAGTGTTAAATAAGTAAAAATTCACAAATCTGAAAGATTTTTATGCTAATTATCTATATTTCCTATCCAAATTTTCTGAAATGCAATTTTCCAAATACTCTGTTAAATTTTCTCCGAGAATTTCAAGCCGTTATTACGCAAACAATAAATTCAATTTCCACAAAATTTAAATATTTCTAAAAAATATTCGAAATTCAATTACTGAAATTTCCAATCAATCCTAAGAGAAATATCATTGCAATAATAACACAAGAATTAAAAGAAGCCACAGTAAAATAATACCAAGCTCAATGATCTTTATTTTTATTTACCTTAATATTATTCCTCCTTTATTATAATCAACATCATAAATTAAATACAACCTCGCAATTTCAAATTACGAATACCAGTAGGAATCTCCTAAAATCCTATTCCCCACTTCTCCACTAGGTTCGCCAAAAGTCAGCCAATCCTGCACTAGACTCTCTCGTTACAAAAATTCCACTAAAACTTCGCTAAAACGTAAGTACAATAAACAAACAGCATTTCCAAAGTTGTGAACAAAATCGGGCCAGTTACTTATAATACTCGAATAAAGAAACAACTTCCGACGACCTTGAAAACCATTAATTTCTATGAAGCAAAGTTACTTTCCGTGCTTAATTACGATCTTCCGGGGATAGAGTTACCCAAACTGCTCTGGAATTGGAGCAACTGTTGGATGTGAGGCGGCAGCTTCGACTGATACTGCGGCTGTGGCGCTGCGTTGTAATTGGGCTGAGGCAGAGGGCGGTACTGCGGCGCCTGCGCAGGATGCCCCTGGCCCCTAGACGCTGGGATACCTCTGTAGTCCGGCTGCTGGACACCAGACGCGAATGTCACTTGCGGTCTGTACTGCGAGACCTGCGTCTGCGACACTTGCTGAGGCTGGGCCGGTTGATTTGAACCCAGTTTGGGAACTGGCTGCGATGGGACTGGAATGATGGGTGGACGCGAGTTCTGCGCGTGCAGGAGCTGTTGGATCTGCGCTGGTGCCTG